ATTTGAGTTTTTTTTTTTTTTTTTTTTAGTACAACGATATATTTTACATTAAAGAGAGGGGGTTCGGCTAGGCTACACAACAGATAACTTAATTTCGTATTGAATTCGCCATCCATAAGATTCGAACCTAATACCTCGCATTTGAATATTGACTTTCATGTACATTAATTCAATATACCATATTTCGGTACGTACATTTTGGTACATACATTTCGGTATTGACATTTAGGTACATTAATTCAATTAATACATTTCGGTATGTATATTTCGGTACGTACATTTGAATACATACATTTATGTACATACATTTCGGTACGTATATTTCGGTACGTACATATCGGTACGTATATTTCGGTATTGATATTTAGATACATTAATTCAATATAATACATTTTGGTATATACATTTAGGTTCATTATAATATATTTCGGTATAATCATGTAAGTACAAAAAAGTCAATTATATACATTTTGGCATAGTATAATCAAGTATTTTTATATTTTGTATCTCATATTTCTTTTAATATTTTCTCATTTATGTTCATTTATAATTAAAGAACTAAATATGTGCATATTAATAAAATTAAAATTCATTGTGGAGAGATTAAATAAAAATACACATTGAATAACAAAAATTCAATATAAAGTTTGATAAAAGTACACTTCAAGGGATTAAATTGAATATGTAATCTAGTACTGGTTTGTTTGTTTTTTTTTTTTTTTTTTTAAATCTTTTGCAATGACTAATGTTCAAAAACCCCTTTATTCATCCAATTCTTCGGTGAGACATGATGTCACATCCCAATATTTACAACCTTCTGTTGAAGCTCGCATTAATTCTAATTTAAGTCATGTTATACTTACAAAAGTACTTGATTAGAACTCCAATAGTAATATTACATTGCATAAACTTGCTTTTTTTTCTTAACATACGATAATGTGAAACTTCAAAAATATTCAACAGCCACGTCATGCAGAAAAATTTACAGCCCAAAAGAAACAAATTTACCAAAACTAACATACCATACACTAGAGAGAAAACATCTACCAATTTCCAATTGAAGAAAAATAACTAGTCACATTAAGATGGTTTACTGCACACGACATGTTTGATTCATCTCTTATTTTATTTTCAAATTCTTAGGTACGAGTCAAAGTTTATCAAAGATATTGTTAAAGTGATTCGTGATAAGCTAAGTCGCACACACTTGAGCGTTGAATCAAAACTGGTTGGAATCCATTCTCGAGTCGAACACATCAATTTATGGTTACAAGATCCATCACATGATGTTGGTGTACTTGTTGTTTATGGGCTGCCTGGAATAGGGAAGACAACCATTGCAAAATGTGTTTACAATTCAAACTTTGAAAGTTTTGAAGGAAGCAGCTATGTTGAAAGTATCAGAGAAACTGCAAGTCATCCAGACGGCTTAGTTCAAATGCAAAAGCAAATTCTTTGTGATATTTTAAATGGGAAAAAAGAGAAAATACACAATGTTAGTGAGGGAATAATTAAGATTGGAAGAGCCATAAGCTTGAGAAGAGTTCTTCTTGTTCTTGATGATGTGGACCATATGGACCAATTTGATGCAGTACTGAGAATGAAAGATCAGTTTTATCCTGGAAGTAAAATAATCATAACAACCAGGCGTAAAAGCTTGCTAAGGGCACATGAAGGTATTACGGTGCATGAAGTTGGACCTTTGGGTTTCGATGAATCATTGGAGCTCTTAAGCCAGCATGCTTTTGGCCAGGATCATCCCCTTGAAGGTTATCAGAAATATTCTGAGGAAGTCGTACAACACGGCGGAAGACTTCCATTAGCTCTCAAAGTTTTGGGTTCTTCTCTTTTCGGGGAACCTAAGCGTGTATGGAAAAGTACATTGGAGAAGTTAAAAGTTATTCCAAATGGTGAAATCATGAATAAATTGAGAATAAGCTACGACTCTTTACACGATGACCATGACCAAAAATTATTCCTCCATATTGCTTGTTTCTTTATTGGAAAGGATGAAGATTACATTGTCAGAATACTAGATGGATGTGATTTCAAGACAATTTGTGGCATTCAAAATCTCAGAGATAGGTGCTTGGTGACAATTGATAGGGACAACAAGTTGTCTATGCATGACATGATTCGTGACATGGGACGAGAAATTGTTCGCCGAGAATCATATGAGCCTGAGAATCGTAGTAGATTGTGGCGCTCTCAGGATTCCTTCGAAGTATTGAGAGAAAAGAATGTAAGAAATGTTCATTGTATGTGTGTGTGTGTGTGTGTTTTTCTTTTTCTCTTGTGCTAATTAACCAATTGTTTTTCCGATTTCTTTTATAGGGTACGCAAGCAATTGAAGGTCTTATGCTGGACATGCATGAACAGCTTACGAACAACCCCATAAACTCAAACGAGAATGTCTTGGAAACCAATTCATTTGCAAGGATGCACAAACTGAAACTGCTCTGTCTTAGACATGTACGACTGGACGGATATTATGCAAAACTTCCGACAAGGTTAAGATGGTTGTGCTGGCTCGAATTTCCTTTGGATTCAATTCCTATTGATTTTTCGTTGAAGAAATTGGTAGTTCTTGAAATGCAATATAGCAACTTGAGACAACTCTGCAAAAGAGCAAACGTACGTTACCCTACGCTTTTCAATCTATTTTCCTTCTTTCTTTAGGTTTTAATTCTTTAATTAATTTCATATGTTGGAATCAACTCCTAGTTATTTTTTTGTTTTTTATTTTTATTTGTTTCCAGTTTCTTCCTTCGTTGAAGATCATTGACGTCAGCCATTCCCATGGCCTTACTGAAATCATTGACTTCTCACTTTGCCCCAAACTAGAGGAATTGATTCTTGTGGATTGCACCAGCCTGATTGATGTTCATGAATCCATTGGAAACTTGGAGAGACTCGTGTACTTGAATATGAGGGATTGCAAGAATCTTAGGATGCTTCCGAAGAACATGTGCATGCTTAAATCACTTGAAACACTCATTTTATCTGGTTGCTCAAATCTTGATGAGTTTCCAGTGGAGATGATGAAGGAGATGGAGTCTCTAGAGGTTCTTGCAACAGATGGAATTCCATTAAGGCCAGAAAGAAGTTCAACTATCTTGAGTTCTTTTCCATGCTCTTTAGTAGAGTTAAGCCTGAAGGGGTGCAATCTTTCTGATGATGTCTTTCCTACGGATTTAAGTAATCTGTCCAATTTGCGAAGCCTACTTTTAGATGAGAATCCAATTTGCAGTCTGCCAGTTTTCATCAAAGGTTTGAGAAGGCTCGATCATCTATCCTTCCAGAATTGTAATAGGCTCGAATCGCTTGTGGGGTTGCCAAAAGTACACCAAACGACAAGTATAGAAGGATGCATATCATTAAGAAAAATAAAATATCTTCCCCATGAGCAACGGTCTAGATGGTACCAAGTGGGTGACAACGACAATCTAGTTGAGTGGGAGCATTTTTACAAGATAGAGCCTATTGATAGAGTTGATGTGGAAATAATCAAACTTTTGGGCTTGTGCAACTTCAAATCCATGCCAAGTGTTCGAATGCGTCATCCATACACAAACAGGGGTCCAGCTGTTCGAATAGGTCATCCATACACAAACAGGGGTCCAAAAGAGGTCCCGGTCCAGGTGCGCCTCTCTTTCTCTCTCTCCCGTAAGTCTTAAATATATAATAGGAAAGAAATGACTGAGTAATGTTGTGATGATTATGGCAAATACATAGGGACTGTATCAATATGGTATATTCAGCACATTTTTTGTTGGGAATGAGGTTCCAGGCCGGTTCAGTTATAAAAGTACCAAATCCTCCATATCTTTTAAAGTCCCTTTACTACTTGCTAGTCACAGAATTCGAGGCTTGAACATCTTTGCTACCTATGCAAAGAATTGTGATCGTTTTCATACAATACTGACTAAAGTGAGTAACAAGAGCAAGGGTCTGAAGTGGATCTATCGCCCAGATTTCTATGGAATTCCAGGAGAAGGAGAAGATATGATATGGTTGAGCCATTGGAAGATGGAGAACAAAACAATATTACAATGTGGAGATCAAGTGGTGGTTTCTGTAGTGGCCGATGAGTTGATTCAAATAAAGGAGTTTGGTGTCGAGCTTGTGCAAGAACACCAGAATAATATAATGATAAGTACCCAACACAACACCAAATCAGATCCTAATTATCCACGTGTCATCGGTGGAGATTTGTCCATGCGGGAGCATATACCAGGAATATACTTCCTTGGTTGCAGTAAAGTAGATGTTGAAGACACTATGAAATTTCCGCGGACATTTTTAAATCGCCTCATCACGGACAGTGATGAAGAAGACACAGGTATGCTATGTCGTTGTATTACAATGAATTATACTCCATCCAAACACTTCCAAGTCCGTCTGTATTCAATTCAAAAACATAAATTTTATGATATTTGTATGTTTTTCAGACAAAGAAGAAGGGCAGGAGGATGAACCTGATTACACAATTGGAAGGACGAGGGATGCCAATAACAATTGTGGCCTCGGAGGCTGGAAGGTGCTCCTCACAACTGCCGGCTTATTTTTCACGCTTGCCCTAGTAGTTCGGTCCTCCATCTCCCAGAAAAAGAAGCGACAGTAGTCCACAAGCGATCCATGAGTTTGTAATTTTACTTGACACAGACATCTTTGGATTACCTCCTTGTTTTCAAGATGTTTTCTGCCTTTAAAAACTTCAGGTTCACAGCTAAGCGCTTAACCGCTTGAGATATAAAATCCCCTAGCAATTAGATATCGAAGTTCAAATATGTTCAACATCATCAAATATTGCATAGCTCAAATGTGTTCAACATCATCAAATACTGAAATCATCAAATGTGCTCAACATCATTTACAACAAAATCATGCTTCTTAAAGACAATTGCATCGCTACTACACTACGGAGTCGGTTTCTGCTTCTTCGACCTGAATTATTAGGGTCAGGAAGCATTAGGAGGAACATCTGTCTCTGAGGCAGATAATCAAATAGTGCAAAATTAGAATAAAAAAACAATAGAAGTTCAGGATTGATGAGGTTCCAAGCCCACTACAAGCTGCTGAGACAATGCAGTGTCATTGACTTCAATAGACTCAGATACAGATTGTTTGAATGAAACTTCCCTCATGACGCAGATACAGACAAGTCCAAATTGTTTGAAAATCATTAAAGTTAATGGCGCATGAAGAGTACTGAAACACACACAGCCCTCGCACACTGGTTGCATGATTTATTCTTATAGCAATAAAAGGCACAAATTCGTCAAGTCACATCGGGGCCATCCAAAAAGAAAATTGAAGCAAACACCACAAACAACCCAAAATTTGCTCAAACGCCATATCAAATTAATTATAAACAGCATGCATCCCAAACAATGAATTTGTACCTCATTTGGGAGTTAAAATAGCACATGGGAAAATTGTAAATTCCATGGGACATTTAATTCCAATGAATTTATAAATGGGTCCTCAGATTAGTATAGAATTATAGTTAACCACAATTATATGCAATCAGTACCTTTCCCTTTGCAGTGTTCTCCCCCACAGGAACCTGCACATCAATAACTTGTGTTTAAATTTCTAAATGTTAAAAACCAATCTTGTTATGATGTTAAAAATATGAAGCACAAATGTATCTGAGCATGCGCATGAGACCTTGGGAACTCTGAAATTTTCATTTTTTAAATTTAGATATAAGAGTTAATGTCTTACAGAGCCAAATACAGCAACTGCTAATTTCCACATCTGCATCTGCCCAACCATTCTGGTTGGGTCTTTTATATAAGAAGCAACTTGTTTACTAATACTCTGCAATTGGAAAAAGAAAAATGAATTCCTAGTGATATCTGGCAAAGCATGGCACAAGTTAGTCATAGGGAAATGCATGTTTACAAGTTCAATTATAGAACCAGACCTGATTAAAAGCATGCGGCTTGCTTTTAATATCAGCAGCACCTGTGGTCACTTCCGTCTTCCTCTGCCATTTGTCTATCAATTTGTTTCTGAAAGTAGCTATTCTACAAGATACAACGTGACAGCCCTTAGTTAGACCAAGTAACCCGCATGGAAAAGCACATACTAATGAAAAGTTGAACATAGTAGAATAAATTCCTAAAATTCATGCAAGAGAAGTTATCGGAGCATGAAAGAATTTACACAGAACTACCCGAGAGTATACTTAAGGTAAACATACGGCAACATAGATTTTTACAAGTATAATGTACAAATGAATTTCATGGTTCTCTGCCGGCCCCTTTAGAAAACAAACTAATTTAATTTAGTACCTAATGGAATTTAAATGTCAGAAAGCTATCGTCTAGTATATTTCATATTGAACAGTTGAGACAAACTTAATAACATAATAGCCTGATGTATTAACTGATAAGAACTAAGTATTGAAATATAACAAAAGTTAAACGCTAAGGTATTGAAATACAGCAATAATAGTAAGGTACTTGAATCCACCATTTACAAGAATTTTAAACAATACAACAACAACAAAGCCTTTTCCCACTAAGTGGGGTCGGCTATATGAATCCTAGAACGCCATTGCGCTCGGTCCTATGTCACTTCTTCCAACAAGAAGTTTAAACAATAAAACAACAAAATTCCAAAGTTCTTGCTACTCCAAAAGGATCGGCGAAGTATGGCATGAACAATAATGTTAAACAATATTTCAGTTTTATAGATAGGCTTCAATATAACGAGAGCATATCTAGATAGTAGAATATGATTCTTCCTTTCAGAATATCCAAATTATGATCTGAGTACCTCGACAGCAACTAAGAAATCCGTGACCAATCCTCATCACCATCACCATCACCATCACCATCAATGGTCTTAGATGACTGTGACTTCTTAGATTGTCCAGATTCACCCACAGAACAGGATATGTATTAGGAGAAGCAATACATGAACATATGCAGTATGAAATTAATGAAAACACAAACAGCACACACTAGGACAGCCAATTAGACCATGGTAGCCCAAAAGCCTTTTTTTTTTTTTTGCTTAATCAGGCTAAGGCTTATATGAGATCAAGCGGGAAAGATTTGTGTTGACATCCTTGGCAGATTTGAAATCCGGCTTCATCTTGGCTATCCTCAGATCAGAAAACACGACGCAACTCATTTACCTTCTACGCCAACATTATGCTTTTGACAACAACAACAATTACCTACCTCTAGAGTGGTTATTTAATTGATGTTTCCTTGAAAGTTGTAATCATAATCACAAATTGTCTAATTTTTGTTGATCTACTTTGAACTTCCCACCTAATACGCGTAAACCATCACATATTTGGACTGGCTTGTTTTCAATAACCTAATCATTAAAATTCTAAATAAGAAAAACTTCCAACTATTTCTAAAAAGAACATTTCAGACTCCAGTTAATTTAGGCGGGACTGAGGAGATAAAAATGAGTATTTTCTTCCTTGACCAACCAAATAATGGAAGAGAAGGAATTTCTCCCCTTCTTTTTCCCCTCCTTGCAGACTACACAAGCCATTCAGAAAGGAAGAAATCTCATTCGTGCATTGTCAACTCAATAGCAATCCACTTAGTTAATTCCTCTTGTAGCCATATCTTCTAAGGTCCAACCCAAATTATAAGCAGTTTATTTAATAATGCAATCATCTTCCAAGAATAAGGTCCAAATATGTGACCCTTCCATCCTGGATGTCTATATTTCTATCGAATGGAACAATTTGCAATAACACTATGTTTGCTAGTACTTAACGTAAATACTTACACCAACAACAACAACAATAAAAGATTGGCACAGAAAGCATAGGTCCGTAAAATGCGTAGTACTTACCACATGCAATGAATGACACCCTCAGAAGCTGATGCTTCTAGGTTATCATATACGTAACCACAAACTTGGTTTCTTCAAGGAGAGTGAAGCGAAGTTCCTCCACGAAAGAGGGACTTCGGTATCGGTAAAGAAAGAAAGAAAAGGTAAGAAAAATACCTCATCCGAAACATATAGGCAATTGTTATACTAAAACAACAAACTTAGAATTCAACAAAGATTGTGTTCCCAATCTAAATACATTATAAACTCCAGCACAAAATAAAATCCATGTCTCCTTTAGCACCAAAGCTCAGTTCATGTGGATTTTGGGAAAAAAAAAAAAGATCCAAAACTTAACAATCCAGATTAGGGGAAACAATTAAACTGTAAAATTAACAACAATTAAACAAATTAACAAACTGAAAACCCACAAAAAAAAAGGGATGAATCCCCAAAATGAGAGAAAATGAAACAAATAAGGGAGTAAACAGAGAGATGAATCCCCCAAAACCTGACCTAACGTATTAAAAATTCAAAAATCTAAGCTAACAGTAAAGAATCCAATTAAAAAAAGGAACTTATCTTTGGAAATCCGGGCATGCAGCGCAAGATCCGGCACACACCACCCTCAGTTGCCTGTTCATGACCCCTATCCCTCTCCCTGAAATCCTGACGACCCATATGGTTTTCTCGGACCATCCCCACTCTCCCACTTGTGAAATCCATCTGCAGCAACATCACTGAGACCCCTACCCCTCCCCCTCGCTCTCTTTCCATCTCTCTATCTCTCTCTCTCTCTCTCTCAGCCTCCATCCCCTAAACCCTCATTGAATGACAACAAATGCAAACATACCAGCTACCCCCTAATTCGCTCAAAACCGAGAGGACAAAATTGCCCTTCCCAATACGTCATGCCCACCATCGGATTGTAATCTTCGGTGGGCAGAACTGTAATTAAATCGTTGAGAGCCTGACTGAGGGCCGGGCTTCTTACCGAAAATCAACAGAAGGCTCATGAAGAGAAAGAGGGAGCGCAAACCCCAGCCCAACACAGATTTGGTGGCAGCATTGTGTAAATAAAGCAAAATCAAGGGGCAACAATTTAACTGTAGCTAAGCTGCAGTCTAGATCTGGCAATTTCTTACACAACACGTAAACGACACAAAAATAACGGGTTTTGGGTCAATACGATAACTAATCGGATCATTATCGAGTCACACGATAATAACCTATTAATAACAAGTTCTTAACAAGTTTACACAAGAGTGATACGCAGGTAATCTGTTTCGACATGATAAAAAAAAAGTTATTTTGATGATTTTAATTTTCTAAACTACTAAAAAAAAACTTACTATAAAGTGCAATAGATATAAGGAATATGTATATATAGTTTATTAATTATTATTCTATATAAATTTTAAATTTTAAGTTTTATTTATTTATTTATTTTTATAGTATATTATAGGCAAATATTGAGATTAAAAATCATAAACACATTAAAAATAAAAATATCAAGTAATTTAAAAATACCAAACACATTAAAAAAATTATAATAATTAATTTACATGTGCGAAAAATATGAAAAAATATGCAAACGCTCGTAGTCGCATCATGTACACTTTGAGGATGGATATATATTGTTTGAATTTTTAAAACCATACAAACTTTCATGAATAGTATTTTTAAGGGAGTTCAAAATAAACAAAATTCATAATCATTAATGTATAAGTTTGAAAGATGTGAAAGCATAATAAATGTTCATAATTGCATCCTCAACGCTTAGACGATGGTTACATGATCGTTTAGATTTTTAGAACCCTCCAAATCTCATGAACAATGTTTTTTGTTTGAGTGCAAATTAATAATAATTATTGTAGAAGTGTGAAAAATGTAATCACTCGTAATGAAAAGCTTTACAACTTTCATAAAGGGGTCAACTCCGAAATTTAGTATGTATATACTAATTTAGTATTATGTTTTACATTTTTTTGGGTCAAATTATGTTTTTCATTTTTATTGATTTAAAATATATTTTTCTTAACGGGTAACGGGTCGGGTTATATTACCTGATAATATTAACGGGTTGATTTCGGGTCGGGTCATATTACCCATCTACTTTAACGAGTATTACACGACACTATCCATTAAGCTATCAGGTATGACACGAACACGAGAAACACAACACGAATGCCAGGTCTACTACAATCAGATTACTCCTCAACTTTAGAATGGATAATGAGGGGGTTTTGAACTTAAGATGCAACTGGGAAAGTAGGCCGCTCTAGCCATTTCGAACTTGGGTGCCGCAAGAGGAGTACACTGCTCTAGTCAACTTAGCTAAAACTTAGTCCGCTAAATAAGATATCGATCATTTGGTTTTCCAGATTGTCATGGCATTCGTCTACAGTTTGAATCCATAAACCTTGACGAGTTTCCAATGAAGATGATGAAGAAGATGGAGTCTCTGAAAGTTCTTGAAACAAATGGAATTCCATTAAGTGAATTATGGCCAAAAAGAAGTTCAACTATCTTGAGTTCTTTTCCATGCTCTTTAGTTAAGTTGAATCTCAATAGGTGCAATATTTCTGATGATGCCTTTTGTAGGGATTTAAGTAGTCCATCCTCAGTTGCGAAGATTAAAGTTAGATGAGAATCCAATTTGCAGTCTGTCAGGTTTCATCAAAGGTTTGTAATTGTATTAAACTCTCTTTTCGTAATTGTAAGAAGCTTGAATCGCTTGTGGGGCTCCAACTAGAGGCCTTTTTGAACGACATATTTTTTGTTGGGAACGAGGTTCCAGGCCGGTTCAGCTATAAAAGCACCAAGTCCTCCATATCCTTTATTGTCCCTTTACTCCCTTCTAGTCACAAAATCCGAGGCTTCAACATCGTTGCTACCTATGCAAACGAGGAGAATTCTAATTATAAAGATGATGATGAAGACAACGACCACGATAAACCTCCAATGATAATCAAAGTGAGTAACACGAGCAACGGTCTGCAGTAGTCCACAAGCCATCCATGAGTTTGTAATTTTACTTGATACAGACATCCTTGGATTCCCTCCTTGCTTTCAAGATGTTTTCTGCCTTCAAAATATCGAAGTTCAGATGTGTTCAACATTATCAAATACCGCATAAATATAGCATAAAATACATCCAACATTAACGATATTTAAGAATTTTTCTTCCCCAACGCTGATTGCATACAATCCCGTACCAGAGAACAAAAACAGATGGTTGTACACTAGCAGTAACTAATTGAAAAAAATATATATATGATTCTAAACATACAAGGGAAGGACATTGACACCGGGGAAAATATTTTGGCACCGGGGAAAGCAAAAACATCCTATCTGCTTATAAATGTCAAATTTACAAATAGTAATTGTCATTTACAACAAAATCATGCTTCTGAAAGACTGGGCTCCCATTGAAAAATTGTGTAAATTACATAAATATCAGTACAACAGATATTAGATTAACTAATATATCAAAATCACAGCAGTTTCACATAAGGAACCGAAGAATCTATTGATAACTTATCTTGCAGTTTCACAAAAACAATAGAAGTTCGGGATCAATTGTGTTCCAAGCCCACTATAAGCTGAGACAATACAGTGCCATTGACTTCAATGGCTGCAGATACAGATTGTTTGAATGAAACTCTCCTCATGACTCAGACTTGGTTACTTAAAGTTGGTTAGACGAGTCCAAATTGTTTGAAAATCATGTTCACAACTCCACATATCCAAAGCAGCAAATTAACGACGATACCAGACATCACTTAGGACGATACAATCCTTAACAATTTCCAAAAGCCACAGTTTTTATATGCAATCTGATTACATGTGTTTTGAACTACAAGAAATCTTATAGATTGGGCAACCCATATATCAAATTCAAATGCAATCATTCATATATGAAGTATGAGATGCCCAATAGTTTTACCAGAAGTTGCTGGGTCAATTGTCTCAAAACGTTCTTTTAGAAATTGCAGGTAAAACTCTTGAGTCATCCAAAAGTTCGGGGTCACCATCAGCTTGTGCACCAGTATCAGATTGTGTCTCCTATCATAGTGAAGGAATAAAAATACTTAAACTCGTGCAAATAGAAATATAACTTTTATAACACATCAAAGAGAAAATTAAAGCAGACCTTACAGGCTGCACATCAAAGCGGCAAACGAATCAAAATTTTAAACATAAAGATACAGTTAAAGGTAATGGCGCACGAAGAGTATTGAAACCGTCACAGTCCTCACACACAGGTTGCATTGTACCAATAAAAGGAACAAATTCATCAAGTCGCATTGGGCCATCCAAATAGAAAAACGAAGCAAAGTACCAAACACCACAAACAACCCAAATTTGTTCAAGCGTAGTATCAAACTAATTATAGACCGCATCCATCCCAAACAATTAATTTGTACCTCATTTGGGAGTTAAAAACTTAAAATAGCACATGGAGAAAATGTAAATTCCATGGACATTCGATTCAAATGAATTTACAAATGGGTCCTCGGCTTAGTAAAGGATTATAGTTAACCACAATTATATGTAATCAGTACCTCTCCCTTTGCAGTGTTGTACCCCTCAGGAACCTGCACATCCACAACTCATGTTTAAGTTACTAAATGTACAAAACTTAAATCTTGTTATGATGTTAAAATTATGAAGCACAAATGAGCATGCACATGAGAGTTAAAATCTTACAGTACCAAATACAGCAACTGCTAATTTCCTCATCTGCATCTGCCTAACCATTCTGCTTGGATCTCTCATATATGAAGCACCTTGTTCACTAATATTCTGCAATTGGAGAAGGAAAAATGTATTCCTGGTGAATATCTGGCAAAGCATGGCACAAGTCTTTCATAGGGAAAGGCATGGTTACAAGTTCAATTATAGAGCCCGACCTGATTAAAAGCATGCAGTTTGCTTTTAACAGCAGCAGCACCTGCGGTCACCTGTGTCTTCCTCTGCCACTTGTTTATCGATTTGTTTCTGAAAGTAGCTATTCTACAAGATACAACGTGACAGGTCTGAGTTAGACCAAGTAACCAACATGGAAATGTAAACAATAATGAAAAGTTGAACATGGTACAACAAATTCTAAAATTCATGCAAGAGAAGTTGTCGGAGCATGAAAGAATTCATAGCAGAACTGCCCAAGGGTATACTTAAACGTAACATATGACAACAATCAACATAGATTTTTTACAAGCATAATTTACAAATGCATTTCATGGTTCTTTGCCAGCCCCTTTAGATAGCAAACTAATTTAACTTAGTGCCTAATGGAATTTAAATTTCAGAAAACTATCTTCTGGTATATTTCATATTGAATAGTTGACAAACTTAATAACATAATACCCTTATTTATTAACTGATAAGAACCATGAATTAAAATATAAAAAAAGTTAGACACCAAGGTATTGAAATACAGCAATAATTGTAAGGTACTTGAATCCACCATTTACGAGAATTTTAACAATAAAACAACAAAACTCCGAAGTTCTTTTTGCTGCTCCAAATGGATTAGCGAAGTATGGCATGAAGAAGGAAAAAAAAAAATTCAGTTTTATAGATAGTAGAATAAGAGCATATGTAGATAGTAGAATATGATTCTTCTTCTCAGAATATCTAATTATGATTTCAGTACCTGGACAGCAACTCAGAAAGCCGTGACCAATCCTCATCACCATCAATGTTCTTAGATGACTGTGACATCTAGATCGTCCAGATTTACCTACAGAACAAGATATGTATTCGGAGAAGTTCATGAACATATGCAGTAT